TAAAGATGAAGGCTCTAAGTTTCGGTTATTTCCCTACTAATCTACTTAGAACCGTGGCAAATACTGGGCGACGCGTCCCCGCGTAGCGGTTTGGTGACCTTTAGGTCAGAGCTCGTTGGGGGCTCCTATCGAGGGCACTCGTATTAGTCGCTAGACTGGGAGGTTGTATTTTCCTCAGAAGCAATGGTATCGGTTGCTGACTTTCTTCAGTTTTTGGGTTCCAGGTGCGGGCTCCGGAAAAAGTGGTGGAAGTTGGGAGGATAGTAGGCGGATTAGCAATGGAGAAGGGGGGAGATCGTACCAGAGGAGGAAGTTCTAAGGGGAGAGGTTAGGGGTCAAAACCGCAAAGACTTCTCCCAATGGCAGGACATCCCCTGCTTTGTGTAAGGTTCGACAGCTTAACTGCTCAGCTAGCAGAGCGCAGTGCAACGGGGGAAACATGCAGGTCCATTGAGCTTTTCACTCGAATCTTATCGGAGACAGTTCTGTGAGGTTGTTTCCTTCTGCGAACACGTAAAATGATGAGATTGAACTCTCACCAAGTCTAGGCCCCTCTGAATTCTGCTTTTTCTCCTGTGCTTATAACTCCTCTTCATCGGTATGAAGTTAGGACAAAGGTGCTGCAGTGGCAAGCTGTGCCACGTACCCTGTGCGCTGGACCGTTGATCGAACGCGACGCGCTTCTGTCAGAGCCAATTATGCCTTGCAGCACTCGGAGTCGTTCGGTTGGTTTTAGAACTACTCAAGAGGACAGAATCTTAACTTGTACATCGGCCAGCCGCAATGTAGTTATTGCATATGCCAAGTATGATTTAGAATGTTGTTGCGATTCTGAATGGAGAAGGAACGCGTGGCGCATATCGAAAAGGGATATAATGCCAAAAGCTCATCATTCATACTTTTAGTATGGAATGAGAAAACGATAGACGGAAAGGCGACTTGAAGGGGAGACTTGGAAGCCCTCCCTGTTACATTTTTCGCCGCTGTTCTCGGCCGCACCGCACTGGTTTTGTGATGGGAAATACGATCATAACAGGGCACGTTCTGATGCTGGAGCAAAATAGCCCTCAAAATTTCCTCCTTTATTACAGCTCCTCATCACCCACTCTATCAACCATCTTTCTCTATCCTCTCAAATTCCTACACTTTTCTTTCAACAGGCATTCCCCATTATCTTTTTTCCATTTTTTCTTTTTTATTTTCTAACTCGACATACAGCGGGAATTAGTCATTAATATACTCGTCATAGTTAGTCCACTACAGTGCTCCACCCAATGAACAGGTAAGCATTCCCCTTCTACCCAGATCTGATAATGCGGACGGGACTTGCGGCTGTGTTTCGATGTGTTCAGACTGGAAGTGCTATCGGAACTAGAGACCTCGTTCATCGGAAGTCGCACGGACGGGCAGTGGTTTACTCCGACTGATGTCATCAAAGTTGTTGACAGTTTTCCTAGCTAAAAGAGTCTTGAGGAGGAGGAGCAGGTAGCAGTCGTAGGGGAGTATGTTAGGAGAATATGATGAGCGGGGTCCGGTCTCTCACCTTTGCTCCTCAATAATCTTTATGGTTTCTTCAAAGCAAGTATGGTGTCCTCCTCACCGACGGAATCGAGGTGCTCCGAAGCTATCTCCGGTCATTTTTCTCCAACGTTTCCTCAAAGTTTCTCTGAGTCGAACGAAACATGGTACGAACGGTTGACGCGTGTGGGTCTGGTAGCTTAGAGCAGCTCGTTATCACCATTGGCCCCTAGATTGCGTCGCCAGAAACAGCACAAGGCGAGCAATATCTTCTGTTGAGTGGCATGCCGCTAGTTGGAGCCTAGGATGTGTGTTCTCCTGGCAAGAGACGACCCAGCCGGCGATCGCGGGCCGGGTCTGGCCTTGAGAATAAGCAGTAGGAATCCTTCTGTCCATGTTCCACCTAAGGGCAATCCTAATGGCACTAAGCAGTCTCCGACACTTTTGACGAGGGCGGAGAAGGGGAGACTGACCAAGGGGTACCCGGGTGCGCAGCGTGCCATCGGTCAAGGTATGAGTGATCCATCGAGCCAGTACTTTTCGGTAGTCAAGGGCTTACAGGCGGTTGACGACTGTCAGTTAGGTACATCCGAGTCTTGTCGCAAGACTGCGGGTGGTAACCTCCGGATCCTCCTTGACAGCTTCGAGAATGGTGGAGTCTTCCACTTCGTGGGGCCGTCCCAACCGAGGTTTGTCTTCGAGGGTCGTGTCTCCTTTCGCGAAGCGAGCGAACCAAAGATGGACAGTCATGATGGTAGTGTCCTCCGCCAATGCACTGCTGATGTTGCGGACAGCTGCCGCTGCTCCAGTGCCGCGGGGCCACTGATAGAACATGATGACCCGAAGATGCTCCTGTGAAACTGACATCGTAATTAGACCCAGGAAAGTGCAGGCGCCCTAACTCTTGCAGGAAAGCTCCTAGAATGTTCTACAAGCATGGCATGTTACGCCATGTTCGAGCATCAAGAACCGAAAAGTGTAGGCTTTTCAAAAAACACTGACAGGACCTTCCTTCCAACCTGATATACAGAACACAGACATTTTGTAAAATTATAAGTTAAATGGTCTATTGTCTGGGGTAAAAAGGCATTTCTCCACGATGGCAAGGACGCGCCTGGCAAAAAGCAGGAAAGTTTCAGACTCAGAGACAGTTTTTTTTTGTGTTTTTTCATACTCTATTTTTTTCCTTTTGTTTCAAGCCTTTTTATTCTTTATAGATCATTTACATAGATAAAAGCACCAAAAACACGGAAAAGGAATGTGAGGAAAAGTCAGTCGCGGCGTTGGCGATGACGATGTGAGTGCGCCTCACACCACAAAAAAATTGTAAAATAAATAAATCTTTGTACGAAGGTACGTTTCTAGTTTACGATTTCGCAAAGTAGAAATCGTAAAACTGGTTGCTATTGTAAACAAGCTATTTAAACTGCTGCATAGAACCAAACAACAATTTTGTGCTACTGAGAATTTTTTATAGGACCATCATTCATGCTTTCAGCTCCCTTATGGCAACATTATCTTGAAAAATCCAAAAATGCTCACTTTCTTGAGGAATGCTGACTTCAGTTTCTACTTGTTCCTTTCCAGAACCAGCCGCTCATAAATCGGGAGCAAAGCTAGAATTCAATACAAGTTTCCGGTTTCACCAACCTCATTGCTCGAGGCTCGGGGCGATATCGATTTGGCGGAACGCCAAGTGTTGTTTCGTTGCCGTCTTCACCCTGCTTTTCCATCGGCGCTTTTCTACGAGGTTCCGTATTCGCTGGATAGGAAACCATACTCATCCAATCGGCTTCAAATTCTAGATGATCAGCGTTACTGTAGCTGCACATGGGCGAAGTAGGCGTTGTGTTGGAGCACATTTAAGAGTTAGTTTTCTTTTAGTTGAGGTGAGAAGAGTACCAGCAGAGGAAAAGCCTCGTTTTTCCAGGCGTATGGTAGCGGCAGATTGTCTATAGGTGATTTGGACCGGGTCACAATACAGAAAAAAGCCACGCAGATTAAAGCACAGTAGGTGAAAAATAATTACAACTGCTTTTGTGTTCTCTTTATTGCAGTACCTTGAATAATAATTATTTTTTCATGACTTATTGGAAGAAACTATGGGAGAAGATCTGTAGCGTACTCGTTGCCATTCTGCAGTTTTGCTTTCCGGCACTATTCCGATTTCTCTACTCGCCATGTTCTCCGTCTTATCAACAGAACAAATTTCCTACCGATCTCAAATCGACATGCATACCGTACTCACCGATCCATGTGAGATTCAGTTATATTTATTTTCTTGATTGATTATTACCTATTAATCAATGTTTGACTAGAAGATAATAGGCTCATCTAGTAGGTCAGAGTCTCGTTTGTCACTCGGGACACACCTTGTCTGTTTTTTCTTCGACTGACAAGCTCGACTCTGTCTTATGTACTAGTTGAGACTCAACCTGCTAACTCTGATGTTTTGCAAAACTGGGCGGGGCTTCCCGGCTTCCATGAGGTGGACGGAGTTTCTCTCAGTGAGTGAACCCAAAACTGAGGTGAGCTACCTTCCTGTAGCAGTTCAAAAAATTTTAAGCGTGAATAAAATTTCGGAGGAAGGCGCAAAGTTGGGCGTGGTCAAGGGGCGGAGCTCAATTTGTCGTGCGCGTCTATGACTACCTCTGCTGCGTGGAGAAAGGAGGTGGAATTAAGCCGTTGAAAAAGTTATGAAAATCAGAAAAATATAAATACAGAAAGTGCAAAATGAAATTTAAAAGATCATGAACACGCTGAAAGTAGGCGGGACTTCGGGGCAGTGCCTGCAGTAGTGTAGAGTAGTGCGGCGTGTTTAACTGAGTCTTGAATTTTATTCGAAAAGTCGTGGATTCGGTTTGAAAAGTTGTAAACTTGGTTTGAAAATTTGTGAATTCGCTTTGAAAAGTGAACTCGATCTGGGAATTGTTCAATTTGGTTTGAAAAGTTATGAATTTGAAAGGGAATTGTCATATGTAAAAGGCATTAATTGATTTCTCGTTGACTATGATTTGCCACCGTAAACAATTACTGTAGTCGCCTTGCACCGCACGAGTTCAGCACGACCTCAATACAACAATTGTCTATGACAAATGTTATTTTTCATTTTCAGCAGTTTCCAAATGCTCTATTAACGAGAATTTTTGGTTTTCTCGACTGTAAATCGTTACTCAGTTGCGAACTGACATGTAAGCGATGGAGAACGATAATCGAGAGGAACCTGGACACATTACCGAAATTGCCTACTGATCAGGTTCGATCCGCATTGCATGTCAAAATTGTGCAGTGCAACTTCATAGTGAGAAAATTTGAGGCTGGTTTCAGATCCGTATCCTCTTCGACGAAGCTGAGGTCTTCATTTATCCACTCGATGCCAGAAAATGTCCAGTTCGTTATGATATGCCTTCCCTTCAGGTATGTGGACTTCCTACGAGTGATTTTCTATTTTGTTAGAGATTTTCGATTTTTTCAATGGGTTGGCGTGAATGTACACATTTTTTTCTTCGAGCTCTAATAGTGCCGCTGCAGGGCCGCTATTGCCCGTCACTCACTCGCGATAGTTGATTAAATTTGTTTTGACTACGTTTCTTATCGGCCTGCTCGTCATCTTGGGCGTAATGCTGACGGTGGCACCGATCTTCCATCTACCAAGTCATGGAGTTCATCACGACGTGGCCTAACCCGCAGTTCTCCAGAGACAGGCTTGAACCTGCAGTAATGTTCGCTGCGGATAACGGGGCATGTCATCGGGGAAGCTTTTGGCGCGGCGCCTGACTGTTTTTGTTTTTCCCGGCGAACGACAAGACTGTGTCACATCATTCGTACCAGTCGTGTTCCACCGGTTTTGTCGCTCACACACTTCAACAACTAGTACGTAACGGGTTGGCGGCGCCCCATACCCGGCCTCACTGACTCACCCCTTCAGCAGCGAACAGAACACTACTAGAACGAACAGAACACTACTTATGTGAACGCAGTTTACAAAACATGTAAAGGCTGGGCAAATTTACTGGTTTTCCCGATATTCTGATGGGTTTCCGAGATATCTAAGATAATCCTTGTAAATACTATATCTTACACATATACAATCCAAAAAGTATTAGCAGTTTCCATATAATCGCGTTTAGCCTTCACACAGTTCCTCAGAAAATCATCGCTCAGTGTGCACTGAAGACTTTGTTTCTGGTCACGAAAATATTGAGAGGAGGGCTTTTCAAGGACCCCTATGCAGAACTGTTACCACCTTCATTTTAATAGAGGTACTATACTTCAAACTGGTTCACTCAAGCGGGAACTCCTTTCCTCGTTAAACTTAGGCAGAATTCCTCATCTCCAGTATGGTAGCTCTAGTCCTATCAAGGAGTACCTTGGTTGCGCACTCTAAGGTAATGAGCGCCGGATTCTGATTCGAATTCTTGCGCGTGGCTTATCACCAACAAGTTTGTGGGCATCATACACATTGTTCTTTTCTTTATTTATGTAATTATTATCTACTACGCTATTATTAAACTACGGTAGCGGAACCACAACAGCAATTCCTACGAGAATACCACAAATTGGGGTGAGTCAGGACGTCCGAGATGCGAAGTCGCGCAACGAGGAGAGTGCTCCCTAGCTAACGCTTTGCCACGTTGAATTGATACGTTGCCTGTGGAAATGCCGCGAAGGTGACATCAATTGCAATGTGTCTTTCGCCGCGTTTCCGTGTCCCTGATGTGCTGAACTACACCCTTTCAGGCTATTTGACCCCATTGGTACTATTATATGAATACTTTTCGCTTTTAAGGCTCTGGAACGACGCCTACGCCACTTGACGACACAGTCGCTTTTCATAAGAGGTTTGATTCCTGTCGAATCATCTCCAGTACTTCGATCGCTGCTTTCACTAGCTCTCCGTCCTCAGCAGATATATTTCATCTGGAGCAAGTTCAGTCCAGCCAGTATACCAATGGTAAGTATTACAGTTTCCCAGTACATAGATCTCGCACTGTACTGAAGCTATTTCATTTAGTCAACTATACTTGTAAGGATATGAAGTTCTTGTGGCCCTGTGCGCTGACAGTTCTGGCGCAACAGGAAAAGATATCCCTGTAACCATATGACGGCAGGGCGGGCAGTGGTGGCGTGTGGTCACTGACGCAGCTTGCAACTACACCGCCCCCGCGTTGCCCGGCGCCTAATATCGTAATCGCTAACCCAGTCTTTCGTAAATTCCGGTCCGGCAAAAAGGTAGCAGACTCGATTGGGAGGGCAGGGACCGTACAACGGATACCCTGCAAGTCGTAGTGTAGGTCATGTCGCATTCAGAAGCCACCGCTCAAAGGCAGTCCCCGCGCTCAACCAATTCGTAGGCGTCTTTTTTCAAGTAGTGTAGTTCGCAGTCTCCAAGAATGCCTCTCTTTCGCGGCTCCACAGTAAGTAGCGAAGGCGCTGCGGCCCTCGTAAAGCAGTCCCGTTGCCTCTCCAGATGTCCCGCCCACAAAAGTCAAAGGCTATTTTATGTCATGAGTTCAGTTTTGACGCCGTGTTTTTCGTTTTTTTTTCCAATGTTGCATAGTACTAGCGTAGGATGAGGTGAAGAAACTGGTAAAGAGCCAGAGGCGGCAGGAAGTAGCTTACTGGCATAAAAGGAGCAGGGTCGAAGAACTTGAACATTGAGGCGGCCAGGAGTCCATAATTAGGTTCTCCAATACTTTTCTTCTTCTCTCCTTTCTGAAGAGCCGATTAGTGACTATAGGTTTGTAACTGAACGCCATCATCCACAATATGGTGTTTGGGTATATGAGGTTTGTTTTTGACCCCCACATACCCAAAGGGTCTTTTACCAATGCTTGGGTAGGCTATGCATGCCCGCCTAACAGAAGACGGCCAGGTGAGGCCCAAAAACGCCAAGGGGCATGGCGTTTTTTCAATACTGCTCGCCTAGGTGGAACAATTTTGTCACTTAACACTGAAACTTTACAGCTCGAAAGGTTCTTCCGTGCTAATCGAGACACTGTTGTGGATATTGGCTTGGAGGAGTGCTCACCACCAAACCTCTTCACTGACAAGCTTCTGGACCCGCTACTGCCTGGTAATTTTTAACCTATTTCAATTTACTTACACTACTGAGTCTGATCCACATAATCCAGATCTGACCCAAACTCTTGTGAAAGGTGCACACAAGGTTTGAGGTTCTAGTTTCCTGTTAGTTGACACTTGGAAGCAAATACTCCATCTAAGTTTTAAGTAAAACGAAATGCTATTTTGATCGAAGCAGTATCAGCGACACTGTGCTTGCACTGAAAGACACCATTCCGCATAATTGGATGGGCTGAGAGAATGGATCAAAACCTTGTAACTCGTAATTGGTGTGCCCCTCCCTTTGATCTGGTAAAAAGAATGGCCCATTGAGCAGGAATCTGGTATGCTTCTGAGACCCCAAGCAACTCTCCGCCTCTCCTCTTGTCGCGCAGTGTGCTTTAACGAAGCTGTCTCGATTTCCTCATTCCCTTTTTTAGGACTGACATGTGTTCGATTATGGAATAATGGCAAATCAGGAAATTATGCCGTTTCCGACGCCACTATCTATAAGCTGGCCAAGTAAGTGTTTTTCCAAAAGTTTGTATGTTTTACTCTTCCTCTTGTAGGTCCTCAAATGTAATGCTAGGTCAACAATGTACCTTTTCGGCATGTATGAGCTAAAAAAACATTCTGGGCCGAAAACGCGCCATATATGTAGGGTTTGGTGAACTAGGCTAGACACGTGCGCGCTGACCAGGTGTGATGCCCCGTGGGGTGCAATGAAGGTGAGAGTTTCGCCGACTAGTACCCCGGTGACGAGTGTCTTATGCTTTTTCTTGAATTATGGCCACCCGCGATCGCTAGCTAGCGTATAGCTCGTGGCCGTTACTTTTACTTAGCTGTTGATGATAGGGTCTAAACTATTTCCAGCGGCACAATGTAGGAAATAGTATGGTGTTCAATGACGTTGCGTTAAGAAGAGCTGTATCATACAGGGCACATCGTTGTTGGGGAATCCCCAAATGGGGGGCGTATTTGGCCGCCAGGAGAGGGGGTCGTATTTGGGCTGAGAAAAATTTATTTTGATAGTTGAGTCGCTCGACGGCTCGATTCCATAAGGAGGGACAGAGGGCCGACCGAAAGGGCCGAAGGGGAGGGGGGGGGTCGTACCAACTCCCAAAAAAAGCGAAAAAAAGGGGGTGGGGGTGGTAAGGACCCGACCAAAATCCCCAACCAATGATGTGCCCTGGTATCATAGCTAATGAGATGAAGAAGACTGAGCGCTCGGCGTTGATCAGTCCTTGGGGTGCGCCACGCATTTAGCTTCCGTTCAAAGTCTTAGTGAATTTTGAACGGCGAGGGTCGACCAATTTCTCAGTTAGCCTTTTCTCCGCAGACAAGTCTGCTATTAGCTGAGAAGTCCAGAATGAACGGAAATTTCTTCGATCTAGGGCGAGCATCGATCCAGGTTTTAATCCCGATGTGCACCCTCCGTAAACAGAGCCACCTGGCAATACTCCTGCTCCTCCCATATACTTGTCCACTTACGAAAATCCCTGGTGAATATTTATTGTGAAAAGTTTCATCTGTCATTGATTTATCAGCAGATATCCTGTTGTTTAGCGCCATTGCTGATGGATATCCAGTCGGAAACAGTGGACCTTGCCAGTTGTGGTCTGACGGAGGCTTCGCTCACAGCACTGATTCTTGCGTGGACTAAACATACAAACTCTGATCTTTGCATATCTCTCAATTACTGTCCTGTACTTAATAAGATGTCCCTTCTCGAATCCCTTGCTTCGCATGATATTTTCCTTTCCGAAGGTAAGCTACGTCGGAAAGGACATTCATTAACATTGTTTTGCTAATTTTTTTTTCACTTTTCACTTTGTCGTTTTAATTCACCTGTGTTGATTTGGAATACGCGTATTATCACTGTGAAGAGATTTAATTACTTTTCTCGATTGCTCCTTTACAGCTGTACAGTTGAAGAACGAAGGGTGAGATTCTATACTTCTATCTCTTTCTCTAAGGGGGGTTTCGTTGTAGGAATC